TCCAAGTTACAGAAGTCTGGTTAATATGTTAAGTGTGCAAGAGGGTAACACACATAACGCCTTGAGGGGACAAAATAGATACTGATTAAGTATGTATTGAGTGAATGAATGCATTCATGGAACAAAGATGGCATAAAAACATTCTACTGCAAACATTTAAAAACAATGGTTGGTTAGCCTTTTTTTTTTTTTTAGTTCAGGGGAGTTGAATCAAAAAGGGTACTGAAAATTAGAGTGGTAACTGCATAAACTGATGATACAGTGGACCTAGATGGGAGTAAAGAAGGGCTACATGCCAATGTTAGTAACACGAGGACTTGACTTGGGACTGAGACTCCTGTGTAAAAGCCAGAATTCCTTTTTACTTCAGAGAAAGAGTGTTCTGTATAAATCCACCTGCTGGCATAGGAAGACTACAAGGAAGGTGAACTTTGACTATACTTTGAGACTGTACAAGTTCGGGTTCTGAACATATTGGGCTCTGAACCTAGAAGCCTTAGCCCAAATGCAAAATCCCTTCAAAGAGATACTGTTAAAACCTAAGACCCACAAGAATCCTACAGAAGAAGCAAGCTCTGCTAAAAATGAGCTAAAAACAAATTATAAAAATAAATAAGGAAACAATCCACCATGAGCTAGAGACAGCAGATACAACATACAGGAGGATTAGAATACCAATAATTGCAGATAACAGAATAATCTGAGAGAATATAAAAGAAAAACCATGAGCATAGGAACACTATAAAAACAGGCAGATTTTTAAAACTGCACATAGAACTTCTAGAAATTCAAAAAACAGATGGGTTAAGAGACACTGAATATAGAAAGAATGAGAAGATCTAACATATGAAATAGATGTTGCAGAAAAAGAGAAGAGAGAGAATCAAATAGAGAGAGTATTTGAAGAGGTGATGGCTGAGAGTTGTACAGAATTGGTGCAAACATAACTTTATATTCAAGATGCACAAGTCCTAGCCATTATAAATTCACACTGAGACACACTATACTGAAACTGAAGGACACCAAAGAATGAGAGGAAAGTTTAAAACCAACCGGAGAGAAAAAGTAGATTACCTACTAAGAACAGTAACAAGAAAGAAGAATTTTCAAAGTGACAATAAAGGCCAGTGGGGTAGGGAGGGGAAAGGAATAACACTGGGAAAATTCTGAAGGTGGAAATAAACTATTCAATCTAGAATTTAGTGCCAAGCTAGATCACCATTCCAGGTTAATTGTATTATAAAGACAACTTCAGAAAAATATTAAGAATGTTTGCAATTCACTAGACCCTTGCTGAAAGAACTACTAAAAGATAAATTTCATGAGGAAATTAAACCCTAAAGGAAGGAGAGGAATAAAAGGAACAATAGTGAGCAAAGAAACTGATGAATACAGTCGTGTCTCACTTAACGATGGGGATATTCTGAGAAATGCATCGTTAGGCAACTTTGTCCTTGTGCAAACAGCATAGTGTGTACTTACACAAACATAGGTGGTATAGCCTCCTATACACTGAGGCTACATGGTACTAATCTTATGGGACCACTGTCATATACGTGGTCCATCATTGACTAAAACGTCATTATGTGGCACATGACTGTATATGGATAAATTCAAAGAAGCCCTGACCTAAAAAATTAGTGAAAAACTTAAGGAAAATATAAAAATCAAGAGACACCCACGATCTCAAAGTGACCTAAGAATATCATTGATTCTTTAAGAGAAGCACAGAGCTATTGATTAAATATATAAACTTAACAAAAACTGAGGTTAAAATTTAAGAGTAAGCTTTAAAAGAATAGAAATATAACCTATAATTTACAACACAAAGGGGGATTAAAATAAATTAAGTAATCTAATCTAGGCGGCAGAGAACAGAAAAAAAAGAAGAAATGAAAGTCCACACTTACTTATAATTTAATGCTAAACATCTAAGTCTTCCCTTTAAAGTCAGCAACAAGGCAAAGATGTTTTCTACCACTGCCTCTATCCAACATTACACGGGAGGTTTAACCAAAGCCATAAGACTAGAAACACAAATTAAAGTCATAACAACAGGAAAAGAAACTACTCTGCTACCACTTGCAGATGAGGTAACCGTCTGAAAAAAAAGTCTAAGAAATATACAGACACGCTCATAAAACTAAGAATAGAGTTTAACAAAGTTTCTTCAAGGAAACTGATATAAAAATTGTTCCTATAACGCAACAACAAATAACCGGAAAATGTAATTATCTCTCATCAATTCCACTGCTGGGTATCAATCCAAGGGAAGCTCTTGCACACATGCACAGGGAGACAGAAATACGAATCTTTTCTGCAAAAAATTTGTAAAGAGTAAAAAAACATTACGAAAACAAAAAAAATCAACCAAACTGTCCCTCAGTAGATATATTCACACAATAGGACAAAATGCAACAGTTAAAAAGAATGCCTTGCCAATCTGGATAAATCTCAGAAACATAACCTTGAATGAAAAGGCAAATTGCAAAAGGAAATTCAATATGGTATCATTTATGTAAAATCTCCCTAACATATTATTTACGAATCTATACACACGTAGGAAAAGAATGAAAATATGCATGAGAATCATGCAGGGGAATGAAGCCTCTAACTTAACATATATAGTTACTTCTGGGTCCAGGACAGTAGGACTTTAGTCATATATCTATAATATTTTATTTTCCTTGAAAAAAATATTTGAAGCTCACATGGCAAAATTTTAAGATTTGGTCTTGATGGTGGGTGCAGGGACGTCTGTTATATTATTTTCTGTTTGAATTCTTTCATAATTAAAAAAAAACAGTGAAAATATATTCATTGATCAAATTGACATTTTAACCAAGTTATTTTTGACCAAGTTTTCTGATATCCCTGTTATCATGCCTGAAAGAATGTAGGTAAACACTAAGTGTTGGATGAACGAAATTCACGAGAATCACGAGAGCACTCTGAGCTTCACCTCCTCCCGTCTCAATTTCTACTATATTCTATTTCACTTTCTTTTTTCCTTTCTCCTACCTGTTTCTGCGGGAAGTCACTGATATATCTTAAACTTCCAAGAAAGTAAGAATGACAATATAGCAAGAAAAAGAATAAACTATCTTTCCTTTCCTAGAATTTTACACTTATAATTTACGTTCGTGTCAAGTTAAGCCACAGAAAGACTGATTGATGTCTCTTCTTGCCTCTCCACCAGTCAAGCTCATCATCCACACATTAGAGGGGTGAAAATCTTCAGACATGTAGCTTCCAGCCATAAATTAAACGTCTTACTTTGAGGTTTGGTTCCCGTTTGATTTTTAAGAAAATTTGACATAAAATTGCTACCGGGAGGATAAAGATAATGACAGATGACTTATTCCCCAATTTCTCCCAGCTTACTTTAAAAATTTATTTTTCTTATAACAAAGAGAAAGAGTTTTAACATTGAAAACCAGTGCTATAGCCTTCTAGCCTTTCCACATGAGCAACAGGAGAAAGGACTCCTTTTACTTCTTTACAATTTCAATATGAACAACAGTAATTGGAACCCACAATATCCATAATGTATAGTACTGTCTGAACGGAGTTATCCTTGGTCTTGTATAGCGAGTTACAGGAAGAGTATTAAGAACACGTGTTTACGTTGAGAGATGAGTTCTTTGTTACCCTTTCAGAGATTTATCTCAGCTGGAGTCTACGTGTATCTTGACTTATATTAGCACCTCTGTTCCAACCTAATCTCCTATTTCCACCTGATTCTGCAATACAAACAGGTTCACAAATATCACCAGAAAATAAATCATCAAGTAATATTTGTTCATCTAAACTACCAAGGGATGCCTATAATATGAAACTCAAGGATCAGCCAAACACATATATGTCGGGCCAAAAATCAGAATGCTCAAAATTATCCAGTAGACTATAGAGACAGCTAACATTATTTCAAGAGGTAGAAGATAAAAATATCTGTTGCATTGACTCATAGGATGTGTTTAAGCAACATATATACGAAAAGTACATTTTTGCTAATATAAGTAGTGGTTTAACCCAAGTATCTGTTTTCACATGGGTAATAAAATGGATCAATATCCATGCTCCTGTCACACTCAGCCAAAAAGATTCCATGACACTAGAACACGCTATAGCTGACCCTTGGGATGTAGAAACTAGCCAGGCAGTTACCCAGAAAGAAAACTCAGGTACTTTTCAGCTGAGCTGTCATGTTTTAAACCTGACGTTTAGGATAAAAAACAATCCATTAGATACTCTGCCTCTTGAGAAGGCAGAAACTAATATCTATGGCAAATCAACACTTTGAGATAACCTGTAGTAGTTTTTATACATATAATTTTGCATCACATGATTCCAAATTTCCTAAAATCTCCATGTCTTTGTCTCCTCTATAGCAAACATTATAGAGAGCGAGGTACAGTGGGGAAGGGGTGCAAAAAATTTTAACCAAAAAGATGCTGGAGAAACTGTTTGCTGGTACAACCTTGGAGTAACTCAACAAAATAATTCATGACCAAAAAAAACTGTACATTACACAAGCTCTTAATACCCCACTAAAGAAAAATGCCCAGTAGAGATTGTCAACTCTAAGATTGTTTTTCTTTATTTGGGCTCCAAGGCAAAAGACCATCAACTAACATCATCTGTAAATCACCTGCTTACTGAATTCCTGAAACATGATATTGATTTTTAAAAAAACAACTTAATTAAAATGCTGCACTCATAATTAACAATATATTGAAGCCATCACTGAAAGTAGAAAAAATATAATAAAACACTATTATTTTGTACCCCATAGATGAAGTTTATAAACTGTCTTATTCTACAGCTTCCTATTCAAGAAATACTTTGCATAATTTATTAATTCTTTACCAATATTTATGCTATCAAAATTTAATTGTCAATCATGAGATTAAATAATTTTACAAAATAATCCAAGTTGTCAGCATAAAAACTGGTACTATTATTTCAATTTGTCCATAAAGGTAAAAAAATACACATACCTCAACAAATATAAAACATGGGATGATGGAATAACTTCGTTGAGTGTTGTTTCCTACAGCCATTTCTTACACCATGTAGCAAGGCTGCACCGTCTACAGCTGTCCAGGCTGAAACAGAAATAGGTAGCATGGTGTAAGAACCATATGTTTAACAGTCCCTTAGGTGTTTGCATAAAAATATCAGCTGCCCTGTAGATAAGCAGGCTGGGTACAAACAATGCAAAATAGTGATCTCCAACACAGTCAAGTCCAATTAATAATCATTCCAGGAAAAAGAAAATAATATATACTAGCCATGAACAGCCTTAGAGCCAAAATGACCAGCTAGGGAGCCCCTGTGTACATAGCTATAGTCAACAGAATTCTAATTGCCTGGTGCTGCACGGAGCCCTAACCCAGTAGATTGCCTTCATGCCATGACACAGTTTCTGCTACAAAACATGTGTTACTGTCCATCCTGCCTGGATCTCCTCTACCTTTGCCTGATCCTCCTGGTTTGCAACCTAGGGACTTGCATGTTTCTGCCCTTGCCTCTCCCTTTGGAGCTGACATTTGGTACTGAGGCACTAATCCTGACTTCCTTCCTTGACTACTCTCTGCCCTTGCTCCCTTGGCTACATGGCTATTAACTACTTTGGATTAACACATCACTGATCTCTCTCACTGGGTTCCCTCAGCCCCATGTGTGTGTGTGACCCCAAACACAAAAGGTTGACGTGATAATGCGTTCTCTTAACGTGGAAGAATGGAGGAGCTGGGGAACAGCAGATTATTTTATTAGAACATCTCTGTTCTACTTGGAACCAAAAATATTCCCATATTAGGAGATCGATTAATTGTGGTTCTTCTAAAAAATGCAACAAAATGGAGATTTTAGACTTTTATGAAACTTCCAGGCCAAATAAAAAGAATTTTTCCACTAGACATTTTATTCTCTATCCAAAGCAATATTGCACATATGTTTTAGGTATCTGCTCTTGATAGTTATCATTTTTCATTTTTCTGTTTCTGTGTCATTCTTCCCAAGAGTTCTTGTGGATTAAGGTATGAAGAGTGACACGGGGACTGCTAGTCCATGTGAATGGCCAACTGCACTTTTCTTAAAGGTCATGAATTAATGTTCATGTCTTAATTAATGTTCATGTCTTAAGTCATAATATAGCCCTAGCTGGGAGAAAATTAAAGAAATGTTTCATAGAGAAGATGGCTATTTAAGTTGATTAAAATAAAGGTAGCTGCTCCCCTATTAGAGGAGGATGAGAGAAGCATTTCAGCTAAAGGGAGCAGCAGGAACAAAGGTTCCAAAGATATGAGTCAGCCTAACATGTTTGGGAAAATAACATGAGCAAGCTGAATATATGAAAACCAAGGATGAGCTATAGATGCTACCAAAATGTGTTTATGTACAAGTGCTCTTTACACACAAACTCTCACAAGTAGAATACCTCAAGGATAAGAAATCGAAGATTTGTCCATTTCCACACCAGATAGGAACATAGGAAAAAAAAAGAATATTGAGAGTGCTTTTTTCTTTCCTGGTAATTAAGTCAGGGCTCTTCATTTCTAGGCAGGTACGTATATTACGCATCAGACTTGTCCAATGGACTCAATGCCATCTCCTGAATGTGTTTCCACTGAATTTTCCACATAATTTCTTCTTGTTTATGAGAAGTATAACAATCTCTAATCAACCCAGGACAAATACAACAATTATTACTGATTACACAATGTCTGTTTTAGTGAAAACGGCTGGTGCTGGAGCATGGTCACAGCTGGATGGGGTAAACCTCTTTCATTTCTAAGTTGTGCAAAGGTGGCTCCAGCTGACCAGTCAAGGAGGCTGCAAAGAACAGAACTGCCCTTGAGAAAGAGCCACCATGACTCAGTGGGCCTTTCTGCCCAGGCTTGATACGGATCTAAAAGTGCCAGTGGTCAAAGTCACAGCCTGTGGTCACTCTCAGGAGCCCATAGTCTGTGATTTTAGGGAAACTAGAGCTTGCACTTTGTATAGAGAATATTTTGAGCTAATTTTGCTAAAAATGTCACGGTAGTTCCCTTTAAAGTTAGGAGGATATGAATTAATAGAGTTCACTAAAACAAAAATCTAACAAACAAATAAACAAGGCTATCAAAAATTGTACCCTTCCTAGTAAGCCCAGAATTCTGCAGTCTGAGCCCACACTGATTTAGGACAGTGTTTCTCAACCCCATCACTGTTAATATTGTGGGCAAATAAATCTTTGCTGTGAGGGGCTATCCTGAGCATTATTGAATGTTTAGGTACATCCCTGGCTCTACCCACGAGATGCCAATAGTAGCAACTCCCCTTCCCCAAGTGCTGACAACTAAAAATGTCTCCAGACATAGCCAGATATCCATACCCTTCAAGGGAGTGGAGGAACAGGGGGAGGAGATGACCACTAATTTAGGAGGATTGAAAGCAGAGCCCCCAGGACATGAGAATTTTTGAGCTGGTAAAGAACTTGCTTCACTGGGATCAAAGCCACAGTTTTGCACAACAGGACAAGCTTATGCCTGCTTAGTACCTAAGAGAGGGAAATCTGGATATTGTTGAGGTGCCTTCTTGGCATTTGGGGAAACAAAGGGCATGTCAAGCTCAGAGATCATGATTGGGGTGATAGTAAAGCCACTATAAGAGGTAGTTACTACCACTCTGAATCCCAAAAGAAGGCAGGGCTGTTTTATCCATTAGGTACTATAGGCCCAAGTCCTAAGGCCTGTGAGCTTTTTAAGAGCCCATGAAAACACATAAGAAATGAACCAAAAAGGAACCAAAACTATGCAAAACTAAATTAGTATGTAAGTATATGCCTAAAACTGTAAAATTCTTACAACTTCATTAATTACTCAATTTTGTACTCATAACAATTCATTTGAAAATGATTTGTAGGTGATATTCTTAATTCTAAAAATTCCTTTGCAGAGAAATTACAGATAATTTTAAATTAAATTAGTGACTCAGAAAAACAATTTCAAGAGAAGTTATAAAAGTCTTTTCATTTTGGCACAAAATAAAAATTTACTGTCAGATGTAGATTATTATTTATGTGTTTATTATCATATGGAGAGAAGCCTCAAAAAGTGAGTGTCAAAAACAAGCTTAAACAACTTTAAAATAGCCCTGGAGGGATTTTGCTTCCAGCCAAGAGAAAGTAACTGGGACTGGATTTCACACTTGACACAACTAAAAAACACAGAGAAAATAAATGAGACAATGGTATTCAAGGCATCAGACGTGAGGCAATGAAGAGCAGTAATGCCTTAAAAATGAGAACAAACAGAGGTGAGCCCTGCGATTGCACTAGTTTACTGCCTGGAGAGAGTTTCCAGGCCATGGTAGAGAGAGGGGAACCAGAAAAGTGGCCAGCGGTCTCCCTGAGTTGAGTAGATAGAGCTGGGAATGTGGGCAGCCCGAAGCAAATGGAGTACCAGAGAGGAGGATGCTGCACAGAGCGAGAGAGAGCTAGGTTGCTCTGCAGAGGGTCCCCCTCGAGTCTTCAGCAGAGCGCTGATGAGCATGGGAGGAAACTACCCAGGGCCTGGGAGAGAAACCATCCAGAAGAATTAAAGCCAATAATCATTGGTGCTTACACAAGGCCAAGAATACTTTCTGTTCCCACCAACCAAAATGAAAAGACTCCTAACTCGACAGACAGGAGGTAGAGGACATCAGTTTTGGTTAATTAATAACTCCAGTATGAAAACATTTCTCATCCAGGGACCACTAGTGGCACTGAGAAGTGTTCCTTGTAGAGTATTGTTGTTTTCCTTTAATTTGTCTGTTACAGAATACTGAATATTTATTGAGATTCTGGGCCACTGAGTGATGAGCTTTCCCCTGGTGTCAGGGGGCCCCAGAAGCAAGAATGTGACAGCACAATCCACGACCCAGGTCATGTCAAGGGCATCTCTGACATGAGTTTTACAAAATTTGATGTGTTGAAACTTTCTAGAAGTTCCTCAGAATTAGGTTGGTGTAAGAATGAAATGAGATTGTGTCTAGAAAGGGGAAAAATAGGGCTTATTTCTATGTGATCCAAATCCTGATTGGAGGTAAGGGTGGGTTAGAGTAGAAAAGGGAAAATTACAATGAAAAAAGGAGCTGTGAGGGTTACATTTCATCTTATTCCCCAGTCCTCAGGCTGAGCCATAATCTCCAAAGCCAGCTCATCTTTAACACATGTTAAATAGGCATTAACTTCCTCAGTTGCACTGAGCTACTCCTCACTGTTCTGGATGATTTCTATTCAGCACGTTATCTCCAACCAGGAGCACAGTTTGCATTTAATTTCCCAAAGCTGGAAAACTGAACTATTTCTCTTTTTTAAAGCAACAAAGACATTAAGGGATAGGAACAAATCGAATGGGATTGTACTTAGGCTTTTAAGAGAAATACTTTGTTCAATTTTAGAGATGCTTCTCAAAGCTTGTAAGAATGACAATGTGAAGACCTATACATAATAGGAGGGTGGCGTTGGCACTCCCTTTTTTCTCCAGTGTCTCACAGCCAGATCCATGGTCCAGACGGTGAGCTAGCCCAGACTAAGGCAGAGACATACACAGAGCGTAAAACCCACAATCCAGGGAAATCTGGAATTGAGTCAAATGTTTACAAAATACACAGGACTCAGGGGCCCTATGAAGATACCTGGGCCCCCACATTATTCTTGAGTAGCTTTTCAGACCCAGGGATCATTCCACGTCCATATGATCAGTATTTTTAGCTTTGTCCCTACTGCTTAAATCTGATGAATCACTCTCATAGTACCTCAGTCTCTCCCTGGGCCTGTATTCCTGTCAGGACCTCACTCAGTGAGTAGGACTCAGCCGCCCCACTTAACTACGTGAGTCCTTTGAACCTACAAGTATGCCTGGCTCACACTTCAGCCCTAAGCCTGGATGGATGGTCTGCAAGACAGCCATTGCTCCTTGCCACCAGATGATTACTTGACATCTAGGGTCTATTCTGCTGGGCCTCTCACAACTGAGGCAGAAGTTTGCCTGGCTAACATCGGAGCTTGAATAACTTTTTGACTCAGTTAAACGTCTCTGGTCCCATTTTGCAACCGTCTCCACCCCATGG